TGTGAAAAAAGCCTGCTTGTGCCATAACCATATCTCAATGATGCTGGGCACAGAGGGCTTCCTGCATATAGGAAAATTATCACTTAATGGCTTTACCAGAGTTACTGCAGAGCTAGACGAAAATTGTGATATTTGATTCTTGGGAGATTAGTGTCACCTCAAACATGAGACACGGAAACAGAAAGGGAAAGGCTACCACAGATAAGAGATGACTGTAAGACCACACGGCTGATCTTGTCTGATTTACAACCACAAGGAATTTGACACAAGTTCACAAATATACCATACCGAAAGTAGAGCGGGCTTCATGCCACTGGATGCAAAATACTCTGGGAACTCCAGCAGCAGAGACAGGAATGCACCATATTTGAACCGCTGCGTAGCTGGCTTTCAGAAAGAGCTGATCAGCCTTGAAAACATGCTCGGAAATCCTAGTCTGCTTGGAAATCTTACAGTTTTGAGCACAGGAATGTTACAAAATCTTCAGAAAGCCTTGAATTATAAACCACATTGCAATGGTCAGGAATCTTCTCTATGCATTCAGTGTGAAAACAATGTCATAAACACGCTTCAAGGTTGTATCTGTTCACAACAGTATTCTGAGGGGTTGTCTGCAAACCTACATCGTACATTAAAGCTAGATTTTCAGTTCTATGAGCCTAGTTAATATTCACATTAAGGGTCACTTACATTTTCCTGTGCAAGTAGGATAGGAAAGAAATTTTTGTCAGACATTTGCATTTTCTATAATTTTGTACAACATACATATAAAGAAAACATCAATTTGCAACTTGCACATTTAGGATTACTGGAAGCAAAACAGCATCGTAGAGGTGACATACTAATGACTGCAGTTTAACTCACTATGTCCTCTGAGCTCACCTGTCAAGTTCTTTGTGTTCTTAGAATCACTGTGAAAGAATAACATAACATCCTATTAACTTAATTGTTCTATAAATAAGAAATTATACATACAAAAATATTTCCATTTGGAATATGATACTAAAAATACAGAAGAACAATTATTTCAGTGAAAAAGTTATAAAAAGTTTTATAAAAAAAAAAAAACAGGAAAAAATACACCAGAAATACAGCCATATATAAATTTGTGTGTGTGTGTTATTTAAATTGAAGTGGATTAAGCCAAATACATCAGATAGATGGCTATGGAAAATGGAATCACTTATTTTCTACAGAATAGGTGCAATATTAAAATCCACAGAATAGACTCAATCGTGTCTCCCTAGCAATTTGCTCAAACCTGTTTTAGTCATTACATATGCTTTTGTTTCTAAATTCTGTTGGTAATATCTGTCATAATGAAGACAAAGCTGCTTTTCCTCATGAATACGAATTCGCAATGGAAATAACCTTCACAATTCTGTGGAAGGATTCTTTAAAAAAAATAAATATTATCTATCCTAAAAAAATGCATGACCTACTTGAATTCTTTGAATTCCATATACATTGAAGTTTGATATAATAAATAAGATAACAAAATATTTTGATAGAATGTCTAACCCCATCACAACTTATAATAAACACTAAAGAGAGCTGACAAATAACTAACAACCATGCTATTCAAACATACATGCAGAACTTACAAATACTGCAAAAAATCCTGTCTTCCACAAAATAGTCCGGTCTCAGTAAACACACTCTGATCTATGGGAATTTGGTGCTGGATATTCCTCCTCCAAGGTGCCTGGACTGAAAAGACCTCAGAGTTTGCTTCTCCACTTCATTTGTCTGCAAAAGTGTTCTATGTGTCTGATGATTTTTCGAATCAAGGCAAGTTCACTGGAAGAACAGGGAATAGAGTAATAATGTCATTAAGAACAATTCTGGAACCAGAAGCATCAGTAGCTTCTATTCCCAGGAGTTTAGCAAAGCTCTTTACAAGAATTGCAGTAAGTTGCTGTTGTTTTTCCCTCCCCTTTAATTGCATTTAGTAATGGATTCTCTTCTCCAGATTTCCTCTTTGTAAATACACTCAAGTTGGCAAAAAAAGAAAAACCCAAACCACCAGACAACAACCATTTCTGTGGGTCACAGTTTCACTCCAATTTACAAAACTTTGTAAATACCACAGCTCTTCTCTGAGATCAGTCATCTTGCTTGGGTGACTGCTGTAAATAAAGCCCCACCAAATATTTTAAAGATAAGATGATTCTGAACAGAGTTGAGGGAGAACCAATGACAGAAAGTCCTAAGGCCATTCTATCATTCCATGTTCCTACTGTGTTTTATTTAAATAATATATATGTAACAGTCGGGTTTTAAATATTAATGTCATTAGGAAAAAAAAATTCTTATCTAATCCAGGATGGATCTAACACCCTTAAAAATTAAGAACTGTGTAATATATTGTCAAATACATCATTTACATAAGATCTTTCAGCCAAAACCTAGTCTAGAGAAACAGACTTCCCAGCAGGCTCAGCTGATAAGCTGTAGCTGCTACGCTAGAAGCAACCTCCAAACCTCCAGCTCCTGAAGTTTCGAGTTAGATTATGAAATTATTCAACGAAAGTATCTGGTTTATGTTTTGCAAAAGGTAACTATCTTTCTAGTCTCTCTAGTCATCTATCTATATACATATAAAATAATAATACATTTGCCTATTTAATAGCGAACTAATTATACTACTTAAAATACCCTACGGCATTGTACTCAAAATAAATTTAATGCCTATTTCTTAATGCATAAGTGTAGATTACCAGTAAGCCAGGTCCTTAGCTGGTGTCCTGGAGCTTTGCTGAATCTGCTCATTCAACACTGCGATTAACTCCTTCACCATTTCCAAAGCAGACATTAGGAAAACTACACGGATCAGTGGAGGATCTCCCTTACTCAGTCTCTAGCTTCTTGCTGGTCCCTTTTGCTAAATGCTGCTTCTCTCTCCTCTCCCATTCCAGGATCAGCTCCTTTCAGTCTTACCATGCTCTGATGTAGGCACTTCAGGAGCTTTCTGCTACTTTCTGAGTTTTGATGTCTCCTTCACCTGTATTTCTTGCAAACATGTTCCTTCTCACCAGCAGCGCTCCATCGCTTTTTGCAGCAGTTGCTGGACGTATCATATTCCATCTCAGCAGGCACCTGGTTTAAGCTCATAAAGAGTTGTGAATGCTTATCAAAACAGGCCAGTAATAAACAAGAAGGAATTTATTCCTTTTTCTTGGATCTGCATCCAACATGCTGCACAGGCTTTGTGCGATTCTGCACTCAAGAGTGATTTTACCGACTACGAGCCCTCTCCATCACTGCAAATGGAAAAATATCAGCAGATGTGCCAGAGTTCTTAAATACGTATCCAAAGCTGGTCTGCAGGTCAGTGATACTCTTGCCTTCGCTAATAGAACCGAAAAGCAGGACACAATTTTACCAGCTTCTGGAAACAAATACCACTTGGTTTCATGGTTAATCAGCTCTTTCCAGTTATTCAATAAAAATGAAAGCAGATCTGCTGATACAAAAATATTTTAAAACAAGGAAAACCAACATAGAACAAATTCAGACTTTTTACAAAACCTTTAATCTAGTCTACGCTTTCTCTGTAATTTCTATATATGCCACTCGTTCCCTAAACATGGCATGGAATAGATGCGTTGAGGGAGGGTGGAGGGAGATGGAAATTAATCCATCTCTGTAATTAAGACCTCAGAACAGCTTTCTCACTACAAAGATGAGTCAGTCCTGATGTTGCTAATGTGCAAGATAGGAATCCGCTTCCATATTTCAGTCAAAATACCTGCTTCTAAATAATGAAAACGTATCCAGATAACATGAAGCTGTCTTACTTGCTTCCCAAACTCATCTGAGCAAAAAAGGTGTACCTCCATCTTGTTTTAGACAGAGAAAGTACAAATGTTTTCATGTTAAAATAAAGAACATGGGGAGAAATACATTTTAAGAGCAAAATTTTAAGGGAATTCACATGAGTAATACTTATCATTAAAAACAAGTTAGAGTCTAGCCTAGCAGAGGCTGAATTAATGCTCAATTTGACGTAATTCATGAAGGACAGAATCAGAAACACCTTCAGACCAAAAACACTAAAATAGCTATGCACTGTATTACAAAAAAAAATATTTTTGTGGACCATCTCCCAAAATGCTAATTGTGTTTGGGTTTAAACAGAAAAAAAAAAAAAAAATCAAAGCTGAAAGAGATGAGAATTTGGCTTTTGTAACTCTGAGTTTGCCAGCTCCTCCCATTTTTCACAAATTCTGACCATTTCAGAGATGCCCTGATCTGCTCTACCACCCAAAAAGCAAACGTAAAATAATTATCTATACCAAATAAGGAAAACAGTTACCTCCCACCCTATAAAAGTATTTTCCACTTGGATATAAGCCCTGCATTCCAGTTATGGTACTGGCCTAGCCCTGCCTTTGACCTTAGTCCACTGCACCCGACCTGCGTAGCCACAGAAATAACTCTCCATGTTTTATTTTGGCTGTTTTGTCGACATTCAAGCCAAGGTTGTATTCCATCTTTTACAGAGACAACATGCAACTAGGCAAAACTGGCATTCATTCCGTGCAAGAGCCACTAAACTCCCTAAACAAGGCTGACATCCTGGTCTGCTGCCTATATGTATGTACCTTGTGAGACACCTCAAGGACAAGAAGTCTCTGATGAAAGCACCACACTAAGTTTCAGACACCTACTCATTTCTCCTAGTCCTTCTAAACATTATTTCCTACCAGGAAAATGAGCCTTGCATGAAGTATCATTTTATGCAGAAAGTTAATGGATCTTTCCTAGTCATCCAGTCAAATTTGATGTGATAATTACTTCTCATTTCACATATGGGAATGACTGAGCAACAAAACGTGTACACCCAGAAGCAGAAGCGGACATTATATGCAAGCTTTTTTTTCCCACTGTAATGAGTGAGATGGCATGTGGAATACAACTCCAGAAAAAGTGAAGGAAGAGAAAGGAAACATTGTACAGCCAGGAGGAAAAAAAAAAAAAAAAAGCAGCTGCATCTCAGGCCATTCCAAACAATGACTTTATTTTCTGTGGAACATCACCATGGCAGCCCCCACAGCAGCATCGACATCCTTCCCATAAACGACAGGGAATGGAAAAATCCTTTCCACTTCCTGCCTCAGCACTTCGTTCCTGGCAAGGGCACTCCCGCTCCCCAGAATCCTCCTCACTCCGGTCTCCATCAGGCGCTGCACAGGTAACATGGAACGGAGGTTTTCAATGATGCCACGGCACAGAGCTCGGGTGACGTGACCCAGGGAGAGTTCAGAGACAGCAATATTGGTCACTGATGCCAACTGCTCGGGAGTGTGTCTCTCTCCAAACATGGTTGGTTGCACTGAGAGTTTGCTGTCGTTTTGGGCCAAAGCTGCTTTGATTATCTTTGTATAGATGGCAGACTCCTGAACCTGAAGTCCTGCAGATGGGAAATATCATATTACTAATCTGAAGGGGTCAAATGTATCTTTCCTGTGGAGACTTAAAATGGAAACCGATCCACCTGTTCAGCAAAATACTGTGTACTTTTCTCCCTGTGCCAAAGGTAATTGTTCTTCCAGGATTATGAAACACAGTTTTCCCATCCAATTGTATCTAGTATCCATGATACTAGATATCTTCTGATTGCAGAAGCTACTTTTCTGATAATACAGCTGCTCCTCTTTGCTTATACCATGCTAAGTTACATCAACCAACACCTTTAAGGGCAGTAATGGCAGACTTCAGCTTCAGTGGCTGGATTGCATGGGCATGCACAGTTCACTTCAAGTACTCACAGAAAAAACAATTTCAGAGTTTATTTCTGTATTGCAAAACCAACCACCAAAATCTGGTAAAGACCATGTTTAAAGCACTTAGAAGATACTACACGAGTTTGAGTCCTGAAGTTCATTAGAGTGCTGCAAAATATGCAGCAAAGGGCAACTGATATAAACAAAAGACTCTTTTGGACTGCAGTCATGCAAAATTAGAGGCTGTCCTCCAATTTGCTGACCCTTCCTTTTGAAAAGCAACTTGCAAAAAATAATTGTCATGCCTTCTTAAAAGAAAACCCGAAACCTAGAGGCAACATGAATGTGGAGTCCAAGCATGACTGTCCCAGCACGTTCATAAGCTTCAGCGGGAAATTCCAGAGATGTAGCAAGCATGACCTAAGAATTATATCCTTGTTCCTTATATGTCACGACGAAACAGCTCTAGGCTTGTTCCTTTGCCTTAGCTTCCTTTTGCCTTGCTGATCAACCTCAATTTTAAGCTTTAAGTATCCTTGAAATAGCTTACCTAGCTCTTCTGTCCACCGTGCCACCATCTCCACAAATGCTGCCAGCACATTGCCTCCGTTAAGTGATGCTGCCACCGCCAAGTAGTCACCATTGAAGTAGGGAAAATAAGTAACAGCTGAGGAAGGATCTGGTGTCTCTGGAGGCTGGAAACCCAGGGGCATTGAGATAGTCAGCTGAGCAGAGGTACTGATATTAAGAACTAGAAGACAAAAGGAAAAAAAAAAAAAAAGAAAAAAGGAAAAAAAAAGAAATCAGTGTTTTACTAGGCTATCTTGAAGGAGGACACTGAGAAAACCAAGTAAGACACCACAATGATCATACCTGCATCAGTCCTCTCAGTCAGACAGGAATAAACAGAGCACTGGAAATCTCCCAGAGCAATTCCTACTTTTGCTCCTTTGGGTATTCCATGCCACACACAGATTGTCCTGCCTGCAATATCGCCAGGGTCTCCCACCTCTGGAAGCAAGTGTGTAGGAAAGCCAGACTTTTTCAATCTGCAATCGGAACAATATTCTTGCAGAAAAGCAGTATGGGAATGTGCGGCATGACTACAAAGACCTCTCTGAAGTCACAGCTGAACCTGGCCATACGTTTGTGGCTGCTGAATTTATGGATGCTTTCACCTATTTAGAAAGCTTTGTCTTGGACAGAGCAGCATTCCAGTTCAGCGGGCTGGGTAAACTCGAGTAGTCTAGAAGAATAAATAACTTGCCTTTATGTATGCAATCTGATTACCTGATATTACACAGCAGTACATGTTCAGCAAGTTTAACCTACAGATGTCATACGGACAAGCAGTTCCAAGGTAAAGAGACAATCACAAAACCAGCAAAAAAATGCAACTTTCATGTGTCAAAGTGTCAAAGAACTTTAAGCTGTCGTGCAGTTAGTGGTTCAAAACCAAATCACAAAGAGTTAAGTCCAACAAACTCCTTATGCAATCAACTGCAAGAGTTCAAAACCAAATCACAAAGAGTTAAGTCCAGTTAAGTCCTTGCAATCAACTGCAAGGTACACCACATGGTTACAGTAACAACACCAGATTAGTAAAAGTTCAGTAGGCCAAATGCAAGTTTCTGTCGGTCTTTCATACCTTCAGGAGCAGTCTTTTCACCTTGGAGTCCTGGCCTAACCTAAGCCCTGAAATATATAAAGCCTTAGCACTCAGCTCTCATAGAGCAAATCATTAAAAAATAACTCTTAGGTATTATCACGAGTAAGTCTAAGTAGTTATGAAGGACCTCAGCTGAAAGAACTACAGAATAGCCACTATCTTCTGCCATCACAGAGGTAACACCTTGGCTGCAGCATGCACATGTCCATCCCATCCCACCACAGAAAAGGAGAGAACAGTTTGGTGTACAAGGCCACTGACAAGTCTGGCAGCTCTGCTGTCTCAGGTATGTCTAAAAACACTCTGCCAGATTTTACATAACGTAAACATATAGACCTTACAAACCAGAGCGAATTCACAATAATCCTTCAGTACAGGTCACATCAACAATTGATTAGGAGTAACTTTCAATCACTTTTTATCTGTAGCACATTCATACTTAGGGCCTGAAAAGGTGTTTGCATTGCCTGACACAAGCAAGTCACAAAACCCACTGAATGACCTTAGCACTTACATGTCAGTATTCCAGCTTTTGCTTCTGGAATTAAAATATCCCCAGCTGGCAGCGTTCTGGGTGGACATGAGCGGCTTCTTCAGGTCACACAACATGGCAACCACATAGTCGTGGATAGTGCCAGCTGCATCGTAAGACTTCAGAAAATCTGGACTTTTAAACAAAACATTTTTAAAACAAAAACAATGGGGTGCTTTAAGACAGTGGGAGCAAGATTGCTTCCATTGCTTTCAGGAACTTCAGACACGTGTGGTCTCATCTAAAAGTGAAACAGTCATCTCAGTGATCAATCTGCATTTTGTTGGTTTGATTTGGTTTTTTGAACAGAATTTGTTTTCCAAGCTGTTACCACAGCAGCAATACGTAGGTCCTGATGGAAGATGGGGAGGCAGTGGCTTTAAGGAATGAGTTGCCTAGGTTCAAAAGCACACCATTGCAGAAGTTACCAGGAAGGCAGTAATTGTTTGCACAAGAAAAAAGTCACTTTGTTGATCCTGAAACATTTGAGAAAAACAGGTAAATTCCTGCAGTTGCTCCAGGATCCACAAATCATATGAATGGAAACGTTCCAAATGGTGAAACACAACAGGAACAAAACAAAGCAGCTGGACTCATGAGTTATACAGCTCTAAAGCAAGATCACGCCACGCTCCATACATTTGCTGGACACACACTGGAAGAAACCAAGATCTAATAAGTTTTTCCCCATTTATCGAACCTGAACTCATTGCACAGGAAGACATTGGCTCTTTGAGAAACGTAGCATACTGCAGACGAAACCGAAGAGCAAATCCTGCTGATGCCAAGTCATAAGTGAAAAATTTTATCCTCTGCAAACACGCCACAACAAAGCAGGCCATTCGTAACACCTCATAAGGATCTCGTGTGGAAGGAAGGAAGGAGCTGAAACTCATTTAGGGACTGTTTGTTTTCGCATCTGGCAGCAAGCAGACAAAGCAACTCTGTTGCTGTTTTAGGCATGTTTTTAGTTTTCATGATCTGCACAAGGCAAAATTATAATGTTCAAACTGCATTAGCAGAGCTCCTCTGAGTGGTAGGATGGACTAGAATTATTCTATAATACTTTTAAGGCTTCTGCTACTATATGGTCAAAAGCTTTTATTTTTATTAAAGAGATCTGTAGTATTTTTATGAGGTCAGAGACTCTTGTGTGCTCAGTTGCATATAGCTGATATTGAATACTGCCATTTTAAATATTCTTTGACTACTTAATTATATTATGATGACAGAAAAATGCAGCCCCTCAGTCTGTAGTAGCATTAACATGTGACAGCAATTCTAACTGTCAAATAAATTCAAGATGAGAAACTGCCAGTGAAAGAGCCTGATACAGAAGCCCTTTTGAGAAACAATGTACCTCTTCTTTAAATACCAGTAGACTGTGGCACATCCAAATCCTGTAGCCAAGCTGATATGTGACTGTGGCAGAGGAAGACTAGAGAGGAAGGTGGGACTGCAGCGGCCGTCTTGCCAAGTAATCAGATGACTGACCTCCTCGGGCTCAAAGGTTGGGCCTGTACCACATTCTGTCCACTTGCAACCTGAAACACACAGATCCGAGAAGCCTAGTGACTCCCTGAAGCAAAGTCTGCCTGGTATTCTGAATTTCCAGACACTTTTGATAATTTGTCAAATATATTGGAAAAAGAGAAGATAGACATTATGATTGTAATAGAATTCATTATAGCTTTCAGCCCTAGATAACGTCATTATGCCAGTCATCCTTTGCCCAAACACCGAATGGTATCCAAGGCCTTCCTTCTCTCTAACACTCCCAGTGCCTAGAAGAACAAGCAACTTGCACCTCGAGATACTAATGATACAACTTAAATAACAGGTGACCCACAAAAAAAATTGCAGTTGTGGTATGGGAGGTAATGAGCTGATATGACAGCTCTCACACATAAACCTTAACTGGGATCTGCCACATCATGACCCAGAGGACGTTGTATTAGTAACAAACTGCCCATGATGGACAGCACATAGTTTCATCCACCTTTGGAGCCAAAGCAACAGGAAACCTGGATCATATGTATTAAGCAATGGACTGCAATGTACTACAGAGTATCCCTTCCCTGTGCTACACAACAAAGCTTCTCCAAAGGCAGAAGAGGGTTTATCTCAGTTTGCAGTTTTACCAGTCCAGCATGTTCCTTTTGAAGGAAGAACACTACACCTTTGATGAAACCGTCACATTCTTTCCCGTGAAGGCCTCAGCTAAATTAAGGCAACTTCTCAGAGCTGCAGGGAGCCATCTCAGCAATGCCTACTACTGCTGCAGTCCTGTGTGCTCCTTCCTGCTCTGACATGCTCGACACAAGCAGTCCTGCAAACGCAGCACACGGTCCTGTCAGAGCAGCAAACTAAGCAGAGGCTCAATCAAGCACTGGCACGTGATGTTTGCGAGCACACTTGGCTGGCACAGCTTCCACCCCTGACAGCTCCTGCTCCCCCAGGTGATGCCTGGCCACGCTGTGGGGACAGGACAGGCCACACACTGTCTCCAGCTTGCTCTGTAACTGAGGCAACCTTTTGGTTTTGCCTGGGGATGGGAGCAGAGTTTCAAGCTGTGCTGTGCTGCTTGTCCTACAGGTCGGAGAAGAGACTGACGAGCACAAACACGGCTAAAAGAGTCTTTCTTGGATGGATACAGGGATTTGAAGTTACACTCACACAGTGAAAAGCAGCCATGAAAGCTGGGAAGTGCTACGTGAAACATGCAGAGCAAAAACGTACTTTTTCTTCTTCTCTTAATTCCCTGTTTGAAGCAAATTTCCAATCCGTTTGCTTTTTTAGTTTTAAATGGATTCTAAGAAATATTATTAACCATAAATCTAACCCTAAAGGATGCTATTAAAGATGTAATTTGTGTCCCAAAGTGCATGGATTCACTTAGCCTACTCAAAACAAATGAGAGCGAACACCCTCTTTCACTTGATAGAAATGAAAAAAAAGTGGCATGTGGCTTTAGGAAATAAAATATTAATCAATATGACATAAGAATCTACGTCTACTGTGAACCCATGAGGCTTTGTTAGGCAGCCCTTGGGACAGCTGGAAAGCAAGCAACAGCTCCTTCAGCCCATCAGCCTTTGGATTTCTTTCTTTCTAATCATTTTAGCATTTAATGTAAAATTACAGCCAGTAATGAATAGCACGGTGTCACTTAAAGCAATTAAGACTCTGACAACGTTTGACTGGCAGTGACCAGCACTTTTGGGAAATCTATTCTGTGGTTTACAATAAATCTTTGCTTAATCTGCATAACTGCTATTCTTATAAGACTTGTGTAATTGCTCAGATGTGCACATCATAGGGTTAAGAGAAAGAAGACATGGAACCACATTCTGAAATCTGAGCCTTGGATTTCGGTAGGTTTACAGGAAGTTAGCCAAGAAGACAATTCATCTCTATCTCACAGAGCTGGCAATCCAAGGCCTGAATTTTTCAAACACCTTTGCTGTCATAAAGGTTATTTGCACAATCCAGCCTCATGTGACTACCTCTCTGTGGCTGATTTTGTTTCTGAGGTCTTAGCGCTTCCTTCTACAAGCATCTGAGTATTCAGAATCACGACAATAATTGTTTTTCAGCTCCTACTAACAGAATCGTAAGCAGCAAGATGAATGCAACATGACAGTCTATGAATTGTTAGGAAAAAAAATGCCTCAAGATTTTTTTTTGGGGGGGAAAAAAAATCAAAAAGACTGAAAACATCGTTTACTGAACTTCAACTTTTCCCCTACTGTACTTTCAAACAGCACTTCAAAATAACATAGCAGTATTCACTGCTGGATAGCTACTGCTGTGCACATTCTGACATAAAGATCAAGCACAGCTGATTTTTCAAGGCATACACAGAACTGCCAATACTGCTACCATAGAATCATTAGAAGGTATTGAGATACTGGGCAATAGGTAGTTTATGAGGTAGTTTTATGAGGTGAATAAAAGTTTCTCCTGAAAAAGTCATTCACATGATGTACAAGTTTTTTCAGCTGGCAGCAGGTAGCATATGATGGACAAACAATTAACAAGCCACAAATACGTTATTCCTCCTTCATATTAATAACTGTGCTGACTCTGCAGGGATCTCATAAGACTAAAACCTTTGACTAATCTGTGTAAACAACATGGTTAAATAAAGTCAGTAGCTGAAATTCCAGTAATTAAAGCAAAATCCCCACAGAAGATCTTCTGTTAATTCTGTTTTACAGAAGACCAAAGTAAACATGCAGCAGTTTCCCACAGATCACTTCAGTGTCA